GGTGTCAGTAAACAGAGGCTTTGTTCATTGAAAATAAGGAGTAAATTGGTTTTTTCTACGAATTGTGTATTCTTCAGATGGTGTATATCTGTTTGATATGGGCTCCTCTGAAAATAAGTTTTCCATGAATCAATCAGTAGGCAATTTTGCTTTGGACAATTTCACTTTGGTACATAAAACATTTAAATCGGTAATTTAGCTCATAGTTTGTGTCTATTACAGTATAAGTATGGTAAATATGACAAGAGGAGCTTTTCATATTTCATAAAACTAATATTCAGCGATTGAATCGATTGCATCAAAAATGGAAATTTAATTTAAAAAATCAAAGCACTTAACGATAAGGATCATTATGCTCTAATTAGTGTGGGATCTGGAATACAAAAAGAGGATATGAAATACATAGACTCTGAATAGAGTTGACTTAAATGAGGTAAGGTAATAATCACGCTCATAAAACTAACCTTTGCTGGTAACTAGAAACTCTACCATCTCAGGATAATCAATTGATGCAGCAATATGTAGTGGCGTCCGTCCAAACTCGTCTGTTTTGTTTACGTCTCCGCCATTTTCCAAAACAAACCTGGCAACATCCACGTGCCAGATTCGAGCAACTTCATGCATAACACTCTGTCCGTGTCTATCAGTAAAGTTTATGTCAGCTCCTTCACCAAGCAGTCCTTCTATAAACTCAAAATCAAGCTCTTGTTCCGTCTCAATGCTTTGCTTGGCCAGTTTGGCGAAGTAGATGATCAATGCTCTGCTGGCTGCGATCGAAGGATGTGTGGGTTCGCCTTGATTTACAGCAGGCATTGGTTTCATATAAGCATTTGTATCATACATGGAAAGTCGCTCATTTCCTAAATCCTCGACATCACTATCCAATACACAGTTCATTTCTCTTTCCTTGTACGAACTTGATCTCGAGTAAACTCGCGTAGCTCGATTGTTATTATTCAATGCGGAAGAGTTTTTCTCCCCAGCCAGTGATCTCATAGAGCGTGTGTAACCTTTCCACCGCGAAAATGCCATGACCTCTTTGGAAACTTTCTGCCAGTTTTCACTTGAAGCTGTCGAAGTTCTTTTCCTCGACTTCGTTACATGATTCATCCCTTTCAACTCCACGCACTCACGACGGTAATCTTGGTCGTTGTTTGCCGAGATCACCGGATGAACTTTCCCATTCCTAGCCATTATTAATTCATCTGTTCGGCTACGAATCAAAAACGATTTATAACTGATTTAAAATTGTCACAATTTCATCGTTAACAGCGGCATGATCTTGATAAGACTCAACAAGTGCTCAGAGTAACTTGGAAATCTTACACATTAACGTTCTCGTGTGTCTGTCACTGAGTGCTTATTGTGTGGTTCGTGACGTTTTAGCCGCCATGTTGTTGTTAAGCAAACAGTAGTCTGTTGCCGAGCACGTGACTTAAATTAAATGCAAATTTTAAATGAGATTCAAACCATCTACAAACAAACATCGAATAAAAATACTTTTCGATGTGACAGGTCTGTTTGTGGCAACCCATGGGCTGGTGTGGACCTGCCATAAATTTCCTTTAAAGCGCTTAAATTGAATGTATTTAAAAGTTACATCTTAAAACGATTAAAAACAAGGATGTATTAAAACTATTAGAAATATAAGAGGACAGGATCTTTCGATTGAATTGAACAAGCCTCTTTCTCCAATTGTATTTGGCCCAATGCTCTTGAGGCAAGTTTAAGTTTTCCTCTAAAAAGCTAGGGATGTAGCATCTCTGCTGAATTTTGGGATTGATTTCCACACGATAGGACCCCTATATCTTATACTATTTCTTCTGAGTTCACCATGATATCGAACTTGCGAGAAGACACTCATGCGCTCGAATTGTAATTATTTTCTTTATAACGAGTTCTAAGTAGGACCATACGTTGCTCCGGTAAGCTGTTGTTGTACACCTGATACATTATCAATGGCGAGCCAGCGCTTATAGATATAACTCAATGGCTTCCATGTAGAAGTTTTAAGGAAGTCAGAATCAGGAGTTCCGCTGGATGAAATTTTTTCCTTTTAGACAAATGCTACACATGTAGCATCAATGAAACCTATCTGATGTTAGAGAAATATTTTCTCTTTTCTACAGCTTTGAAAAACTTTAGGAGCAAAGGAACAGCGATATTAAATGGCGTGAAGTTTCCTAATATCAAATTAATCACTTGAAAATGATAACTGCCGGGAAACGAAAACAAACCTTGCAAAATAACTCCCTCCAATGTGGAATTCAACCTCAGGGTAAACCATTTTCAGTCACTGGTGAAGTTTTCAATTCTTTATTCAAGCTGCTCCAAAGACTCGAACGAAGTGAAGGGTTTCTTGACCAAAAGGGATTTAAATTCCTTCAGTATAGTAACTCATTTGACAGCAAAGCCTCAAAAAACAAAAGAAAACAAAAGAAAAACAAAAGACTTGGTGTATTCTTTGCAGGTTCAAGCGTGCCATTTTTCCGCCAAAATCTGTCACGTGCCTAGCAACCAATAGAGCGCTCTTCTTCAAAGTTGCTAATTACCGGTCGAACATCTAATTAAGCCACGTGGATTGGGTGTTTATTTGCAAACTTTAAGTTTTCTTTGTTAATAAGTGCGGCATTTCCACCCTTGGAGATGGTGCATTTTTCTGCTCATTTAGTCTGAAACTCGTGTTTTCGATGTATCAAGAAAGTTCTGGTGCGCACAGAGAACAATGCCGGGAAATAAACCACACTCACTTTTTGCAGCTCAGCTATCATGTTTTCGATTAGTTATTGCGTTCTTTAATTAATTGCTCAAGTGTATCAGTGATCCATAAAACTGATCCAATCATCAGAGATGAAAATATGATTTAATAGTCCTCCAGTAAATATTTAGAAAAAAGTACTAAAAATTTCTAATGTGAATTATTTCATAACTTTCGGTCTAAAAGTAGATCAGTGATTTTAACAGAATTCTGAGAAATCTAATAGGTAGAAATCTCACTCAATGTAGGAGTTAAACTATTCTGATTAAAAATAATACTTGCATGGATCTTAAAAGCATAAAAGTTACGACTCACTGTCGAAATCAGTCACTTATTTCATAACAAATAACTGTTTCTTAACGTGGCCAACAACGTGTTCTCCAAAGCAGGTTCCTCGCCTTTCCATACTTCTCGCACGTGGTAGATACGCTTCGCCGCGTCGAAACCGATCAATTGAAGCAACAGCAACATTTGTACTTCTACATTTGCTACTTTCACAGTATTTTGAATATTACATGACGTATTTTCCGTGTTCTACAGGGTAGAATTTGTTGGCGATATCCACAGAGATTTACACTGAAAGACTTGATACTTTCCTTTAACACAATTAAAGCAAAATATTTCATTCATTTTCAGAGCACTTAGTTGAAAAGATTGTGTACATGCACAAAATAAATGTGAGCTAAATATCACCGAGGGAGAAGAAAAACAACAACAATAAAAAAAAAACCATGTAAGAAGAGAACAAACAAACATGGAAGTTAATAAACGCCAAACTATTTATAAGCCCATGGGTGAAGCTGTTAGCTCAAAGCTAACCATCTCCGACTCAATGAAATACAATTTGCATGTCTCTAATACAACAGTGTCACCGGTAAGAGCTTTAGAACAGCCTGTTTGTGCTCATGGTTTGCCTCGTGTTCAAAGCAAACCTGCAATTTTTTTGCCATAAAGAAACATCGCCCTTGTGTGGGATAAAACTATTGTTTCGCTACAGGTTGTTTTTCGTATCTATAAATCACACAAACAAGTAGTAAATTTAGTGAATTCTTTGGACGCGAGCCTAAGTGTTTAATCAAGTGGGATCATGTAGGAAAGTGTTATGGAATTCAGAAATTTAGAGTCGCCTATGGAAAATGTTGTTCTTTTTATCATCATGAGATAAAATATGAATTTAGATAGGCCTTGATCTGGAATAAATGATCTTCGGCCTCTTCTTGCAAAAGTCGATGATTCGGTAAAAAGTTTGGAAAGTTTATAAGACGTTTTAAAATTGTTTTAAACGTGAAACTTACTACATTTTGAGTTGGTAATCCGCATAAAATTTTCACGTGTCATGCAATTTTTAAAACCCTAATGTATACTGCATTTATACCATACTACGACGATTAACTGTGTTCCTAGAACTGGAGATGGATAAAGTTACATTTAGATGATACTGTGTACATTAAAATACGTTGTTATTATCATTATCTTGAACATGATTAGTTAGACTGTGTGGAAGCGTTTACAGTTCATTAACTAGATAAAATCAAAAATTCGGAACACGGAGGACATTTCAAATCAAAGGAGCCTATTAGGAGAGGAATGAAACTGATTTCATAATCTGCGGAAACTGCACAACTTTCTAACGTATTTACTGCAAAAGAAATATCTGATTGTACGTCAGTTTGGGCTGGCAAGACCAAGTTAGGTAACCGGCATACTTACCAACGCGTGTAGAAGACGAGGAACATTATGGCAGTGGTATTCGAAAAAGGAGAGATTAAGGATTGATATGTCAGTTTGCAGTATCAAGTGGCGACGTTTAAAGCCTCTTAGAGCAATGGATAGCTGTTTCAGAACTTGTGCAAACATGTTTTTAAAAATATTTTGAAAAGAATAACAAACTATTCATTCAACTGTCTGTTTTCGTTTCCTTTCTGTATCACGTGCGTCGAAAACCTAACCATTTGTACGCTTTGAATCCTGCGACTGGCATTCACCTCGAACTAGCAGAGTACATGTTTCAATTATCTTCTCCGAGCTGACTATGATTTTTAAGTTACCACGATTTTTCCTAGGTCTTCAAGTGACTTATGAGGCAAACCACTTGAAGGAGAGATACATGCTAAGGTTTTAATTACTAATGAAACTATGAAAATGAGATAAGGTCTTAAAAGCTTCCTTTAATCAGCTATCAACTATCATGTTTAAAAGTTTGGGAGTGCTGTATATTTTACAGCGCACGTATACGCCTTCTTGTCGCCTCGAAAACATTTTGGCGTCTTTTTGGCCACCTCAGTAAAAATAAATGTCTTCAAGAGGAAACTCTCATATTTAGATCCACCTTCTCTTAGGTTTGGCTCTGGAATCTTGAGACTTTAAGGATGAACCAGTTCAGGAATGCACAATCTTTGTTCTCTGTTCTTGCTTTCATGATCGTTTTTAGCTCGGCAAAGATATCTGTTGACCAGCGCAGCACAACGTTTACTGACTACATCGAGGAACTGTCAGAGGATCTGAGGATTTCAAAAGATGAAAACCTCCTCTTTGTATTTGACAAAGGTTTGTTTGCATTGCGCTTAAAACTGTTTTCTCTGCCTTCGATTTGCATCTTTAGAGTTGGAAATGTTTTTTTTTTATATATTTTAATTCCAAACTGTGGCACATACGATAGTATTTGATGAATGAAGTAATTTTGTACCGAAAAATGTACATGTTTGCTTGGTGTGCGAGACACTCCCGTTCTTGTTTGAAACAATCGTGAGGAATTATTTGCTTGTATAATGTGTTTTTTTTTTTCATTTGATCATCAAGAGCCTGGGGTTAAAAATCCCATCTTTTTCAGGATTTCTTCGTCGAAACACCAACACTGACGATCAGTACAAAATAAAGTTCACAACCCATTTTGATACCTCGGCCATTGACATCGAGAACACGTTAAAACTTCACCTGGCCTTTCTTAGACTTCCCACAAAAGATAACGTTATCTTCGCTTTTGACGTCCTTGACGAGGACGGAGTTAGACTGGCTTACAACACACAAGATTTGCTTGTAAACACAACAAAGACGATAGAACTTTATGACGTATCAAGGCTTTTGGATCAGTGGAAGGAACAAAGACGCCTTCGTAAAGTGAAAGTTGAGTTCATCATCACAAACACCTCGCGGAAAGAATTAAAAAATTTTGAAGAGTGGTGGAAAAATGGACCCGTTTTCCTCGTGGCCTATTTCAAGAGTATTTCAACAACGTTTACAAGATCTATCTCCACTGGTAATAAGCCAAAGAGACGCTATGGCAAACTCCGCAGTGGTCAGTACCCGACAGAATGTCGACTTCATAGCTTCAGAACCTCCTTTGCACGATTGGGCCTGTCCAACGTGTATGTTCGACCTAAAGGCCTTATCAACTTCTCTTTGTGTTATGGCCGATGTGATGTAGCTGACAGCATGAGCTCCTCTGCGAAACACATCACACCACATGCGTTCGTCTTGGAGCTCGCCAAACGGAGACGTGTGTTTTCGTCCCCAGGAGTTCGTGCGAATCTCGTGCAGAGTAAATGCGTTCCGACCAAATATCAAGGACTTGGTGTTTTAAAAAGAGAAGCCAATGGCAACTTGGTGAGAAAGACTATTTTTGACTTGACTGCAAGTGCTTGTGGTTGTCGCTAAATGCCTCGACATGATTCACAGATAACGAAAACTCGGGTTCGCCCACAGTCAAAGCCAAAAGCCAATTTTCAGATAGTACTTTTTACAGTACATACCTTTAAAGATGCTTTCTGCTACTTTTATATCTTTTAAGACTTTTTTCACCTGTGCTACATATTTTGTCATTCAGATTTGCTCATTATATTGTTAAAAGTATCTAAAATAATTTTGCTTCTTCACTTTCTTTGTTAGGGCTTTCCTAACGTTAAAAGTTTGCACACTGTCTGCTGAAGTGAAAAAGTAGTTCACTAGCTCTGATACTTAATAAAGCTATTCAAAGTTTCACTTGGTTTTGTCTTATTTTTTATAGCTTTCTTCTCACTGATCGTTGATAACTTAAGTGGATCTGACACATATTTAAGCACGTTAACACAATCCCCTTAAACAACTGTATTTACCTGCTTTTTCATTGTTTTCTATTTGTTTGCCCTAGTCTACTTGTCAATTTCACCTGCACTGCCCTTTAAAGGAGGCTGGAATGTTTTCCAAAACAACAGTAAGCCGACAGTATTGAGCCAAACTTAATTTCCAAGAGAATTCAAGAGAAATAAAGGCTTGAGCATTTTTCATTTGCAGGTTAACTGCTTACATCTCAAGCTTAGTGAACATGTTCAAGACTGGCCCAATGTCATCTTAGAAAGTTCAGTATTAAATTGTACTCATCAAGGACTAAATTCGGTTGTCAACCTTAAAACCAAGAGGTCAATGAGTACACTCATTGCATCTGTTTGGTTTTCAATCAATTTGAGGATTTAACTCCCATGACTGACCAAGACAGAATTTCTCCTTAAAATGTCAAGTAGACAAGTGATAAGAATAAAGGAAAATATCAATTAGGAGATTGTTTAGTTGATTCAATACCAAGTTCTCCAAACTAAAATCCTAAGAATTGTATGACAGACAGTAAGAAGAATTACTAATGAGATCTTGGGAGCTACAGGGTCAATGAACATCAAAAGAACTGTTCTTTGTCTCCAAAAAGAAATTTTCTTCCTATACCACTTGAAGTGGATCTGCATCATATGAAGAAACCAACACATTAACCTTCTCTTCTAACAAGCCATTCAATTTTGTCTTAAATTCCAGTAAGAAACCACGTTCTGTGTTACTGTGTTCACACAAGACCACATGTACTCCATTTGACACTGCTTCTAGCACTTCGTGATGTGACATTTCTCCTGTCAAATACACATCAGCCTTTGTTCCTTGCAGTAAACCAGCTCCTGACCCAGCACAGATTGCGATAGTCTGAACACGGCTTTGCTGGGGGTCAGCTAGTTCAGGCATACCTAAATGTGCCGCAGCAAGACGAACATGTTTAAGGTTCAGGTGGTTTTTGATGCGGTTTATCAATTCTGACAGAGTAACTGGTGTTTGTAGTGTACAGAGTCTTCCTTGACCAGTTCCCAAAAGAGGAATCTGTAAAAAGTAACAGATCAATGTCAGTATCTGAGCAACTATGTACCTACCCCTCCCCAAACTCAACATTAACCCTAACTTGCCATCAGTTGACTGGTGTTGGGTTAGGGGAGGGGTAGGTATGCAATTTCTCAGATACTGACATTGATTTAAGATATTTTTAAAAGAAAAATCTATTGATCAAATTTGTTCCTTGTTATGATATTTCAATTAAAACAAAAAAGAAAAAATTATGTAACATTTCTATAAGCATGAAGCCTCAAAATAGTGATGGTTATCAACTGCTAAGGTTTTGACAGGTATTAAACATATTTTGAACTAAAGGAAGGTTTTTAGTACTCTGGCAAACAACCAAAGGAAGGAAGAACAAGTACAAAAAAAAGGGAAGTATCACCTATGGGGAGTTCTTGCTTGAAGATACTGGTATGAAAACTATTCAAGAGTTAAAAGTTATTGCATAAGGTCATGAAGATTAGAAAATGCATGGGGGTGCCCTGGTGGACAATCATTGAAAGAGATATGTAGATTTTAGCTCTGTCACTTGTTCTGAGTACTGCAAGTCACTGTGGAAGATCATGAAGATTATAGAACATATATGAAAGCTGTGCATGGAAAGAGATACAGATTTAAGCTTTATCAATTTTCTGAGCCCTGAAAGTCACTGTGGAAGACCATGAAGATTAGAAAAGGCATATGGAAGTTGTATATGGAAACAGATCTACATATTTAAGCTTTGTCAGTTGTTCTGAGCACTGTTTAGCCCCACCTGAGCTAAAGGCATCACTTCTGTTTTACCAACAGTTTCAGGAAACTGAGAAGTCAACATCTGAAAAGCATTGACCAGGCCAGTCTCAGTGCAATGTAAGGAAATTGTCTCTGGTCTGTTAAGAACAAAAAAAAATAAAATAAACCTAGGCATTTATTGATGAAAAAAAAAGTGTGAAGGAGGACATTCCAAAAATGTTTTAAATATTTCACATTTCAAAACAAAATGGCTCTAAACACTGCCCTTAGCAGTTCACTACTAATATACAGCTGTTTTGAGTAAGGTTTTTGGAGAAAGGCACACAACCCCAAAAGGTAATTTTTCTTGCCCCAGGATTTCAAGGAAATCTGAGAAAAATTCACTGTGCGAAGAAGGCATCACAGGTTTGATGACTTTATTCATTTGTACTATAAAATTTCATTGATTACCAGATACCCAGATTACCAGATTACCTTTCAAGATTGTCACATGAAATTTTGTCCTTTTTCCTGACAACCTTTCCCCAAACAGCTGCATGAATAAGCCTGAATAAGCTCGTAGTTAGGGCCACACTCATTAAATATTAGAGGGGAATCTCTTGGAAAGGTGGGCTGAACTTAAAGGGGGATGGGAGATATCTTTACCTTCCTAAACACATGTTAAACAAACAACCCCTATCCTCCTCCCCCATCTAATTGTTCAGATGGTCAAAACATACTTAGTTACAGCCTCCACCTCAATCCGTTCCACTCCGTCGAGTCCTTTGAGGGTGTCTTGAAGCTTTAGTAAACTTTCTGCTTCCTGATTGGTCAACATACTTGTCAAAACTTTGTACTGACAAGAACCAGATCCTTTTGAACATTGAAGGGGTTCCACCTTTGCGCTTCCCAGACCTGAAGCGAGCCAGTCGTTCACGCCATTTTTAACCGCATCAAAAGCTGTATGCGGAGAGTACACAGCTATTTTATTCTCTATCATTTTCACAATAATTCTTTCCTTGAACGTTTTTGAAGTGAGACGTTTAAGTGGCTTAAATATCGGCGGGTGATAGGATATAACCATATTTACTCCTTTTTCAATAGCTTCTTGTACTACTTTTTCAGTTAAATCGTTAGTAAGAAGAAGTGATTTTACAAAATGAGGTCGGGATGGTTCGACGAGTAAGCCCACGTTGTCCCATTCTTCAGCTAGCTGTAGTGGCGCAAACTCGTGCAGCTTTTTCACGACGTCTTTGAGATCCATCGAACTGTAATAACGAGATCTCGACAGACTTATACTACTCAAAATTCTTCGAGAGAATATAGAAGACCTTGTGATTAGAAAGATCATGTGTTTTTGATTGCTTAATCTCACTAGACGATTAGGTTCGAAACCACAATATTGAAGAAGAGCAAATGATAAGATACTGGATCGAGCTAAATTTTGTCAGCGGTAGATGCCATTGCACCGTGGCAAGATGGCGGATGAATTTGTAGTTGCTACGGAAAAGTATGGATCGGGCAGCAGAGAGAGAAAATATAGATTTTCTACCGAAAGTGGAAATATAGAAAGAATAGGAAGGAAGAGAGATTCTGCAGCTACCTCAGTGCAGCAGTTTTTCAAGGTATGTCAGCTGTGTTGGCCTCGCAATTACAAAGGAGGCCCAAGTACTCTCAAGCCATTAGTCCCCATTGATTTAAGATTAAGAGCCAATTTGATGCAGATTTTAGAGTAGTAGGACATTAGAAGCTCTCACCAAGATCCCATGATTCCCAGAAAAAGTATGAAATACTGCATGCATGGTTACAAGGGGATCAACAAGTTAATTACCCAACGTTTCTCGGAGAAACAAGAACTTGGTCAAAAGAAAACAAGGCAGACATCTGTATTTTGAGCTCATTTTATTCCGAATACTGGTAAGAATAGGTAAGCAGAGGATGACAAAAGGGGCAATTTCCATGTTGCAAAACTTACAGGGACAACAAAGATTGTGCTATGAACTGGTGGGAGGGTGGGACAGAAGGGGGGTGGGGGAGAGGGAGGTGGGGGAGAGGGGGGTGGGGGAGAGGGAGGTGGGGAAGAGGGAGGTGATTACTTAATCCTCTCCCATTGCAGGCTGTATGAAATTTGTCAGGACAGTTGTTGGTGAAGGAATGCACAACATGAAATATTAGACAGGAGATCTCAAAAATTCTCAAATATGCTTTGAGCAGAATTGTTAAAAGAAATGATGAAAGCTAAATACTTAGTATTAGGTTGAAATCTCTGGGGAAAAAAAGTTGCACACAACATAATTTGAACGTTGATCAATGTATATAATGTGGATAAGAGACTGGCTGTATCTTTTGTAGTCTGCCTTTCTTCCACAAGGCTACCCAGACAGTGTCAGCAAAGATTACTTGGAATACCAAATATGGGATACTATGCAGGTAATTCAGGCTATCTGTTTTTGTTCATCTATCTCTCTTGCTCATTAATCCTTCCCTCTTCCAAAAATAACAAAATAAAATGTAAATTTCCCTCTTTGGAGACAGTTCCCCTTAGTACTCCCAAACCATCTCTTAACCTTTTAGCTCCCAAAATATGCTCCCCTATTACATATGCTCCAGCTATTACACATTTACTTGTAAATTATTACAAGAATTTGATGTTACAACTAGATGACAACCTCTACCTGATGAGTTTTTGTACTCTCATTTACCTATTTGCTGGATAAGGTATGAATACTGTAGGGAGAAGTTACATGTTAGTCACTTCTGGGAGTTTATGGGTTAACTTTGCAATAAGGTGGATCAATACCCATGGTTGCTTCATTAGCCAAGAAAAGATGATTGTTTCTGCTATGGAAGGTCAATAAAACACTGTAATTCATGTTTAAAGCTGTAAAGTAGAAAAAGAAATGGATGCTGACTTGTTTTACCTGTATGTTAGGCTTTTTGTTCTTCAATAACTGGTACCCTCGCCACACAAGCTATGTTGAAGGGTTATGGTGTTGGGGATGAAAAAGCTACAGCCCTTGCGGCAACTATGACATGGATTTTAAGAAGTGAGATATTTAACAATAAGTCATATTCCAGTTAGGATGTTTGATGAGAGTAGCATGTAAGCTGGACACTTGATACATATATGCACCAGTGGCATGCCCTATTTCATCTGAGATGACTTTTGTTATGGTTCATGTGTGAACTTGTGCTTAACCCTTTGTCTCCAGAGATCTGATTGTTAATTCTCCATTCTAGCAGCTACACATCACCTTGTAAACTAGTTACAAGAATTTGGTGTTTGATCAAGATAACAGTTTCTACCTGACATGTTTGAGTATTCTCATTGCCTGTTTGCTGGATAATGTATGGGTATTATAAGGAGAAATTACATGTTGATCACTTTTTTCTCTTCCCTCCCAGCTTTTTGTGGGTTATGTTTCCTTTCCTATATTTTGTGCACTGAAAGTAAACTTCTTTCCTATAGATTCATATGGTTGTTTTTATGAGTTCTATTGAAGAGAGATTTGTGTATCTAAACTTTAGATAGGAGAATTTGATATATTTTTAACTGTTTATATTTTAATGTTGGTATGAATTTTTTTTCAGGTGGGACAGGCATGGTGGGAAGCATTCTATTTGCATGGTTCCAAGGGTATGAAGACTTTGACTTTGTACTCGTTACCTTGGGAGAGTAATGAAAAAGGACCTGAGTTGCTCTTGTCAACTTCTCCCTTTGTCTTGCTAGGAAACTTAAGACAGCCTGACATTCACCAGCAGTATATCAGCCCTAAATTTGAGTTCTTCTTCCAGGTGCCTCTTAAATTCAAGTTTTCTATGTGGGAAGTGAACAATTATTGTAATTGTAACAAGCTTTTTTTCACACTATGTTTATGTTATATCCATTTAGGAGTAATTTGGATTGTAATGCCAAGAAATGGAGGTATGCCATATGAAAAGACAGACTAATGGTGTTGCTGTTCTCTAATATATATTTTTTGCTTAATCAGTATGATTTGTCTTTGGGAGATGCAGCATGATCAGTGTGCTGGACTCTGGGTTGAGAGGTCTGGTTTCTAGCCCTGGCAGACTCGCTCTTTTATGTTGTTGGAGGTCACACTTTACTCTCACTCCCAGTCCCTCTCTCCATTAAGGAGTATAAATGAATATGTTTGAATTGTCAGCTAAATGCTAAGGGATAACCTTGGATGGACAAGCATCTCATCCAGAGGGGAGGGAGTAAATGTACTCATGATTGCTTGCCAGGAGAAAATTATTTGAGCAATGATATTGTGTGGGCTATTTTGCTTCAAATGTTTAACCATGACTTATATGCATGTTATAAATGAATATAAACCTTTTAGATATTTCAAAATAATGAAAAGTGCTGCTCTTAGGTATAATTTTTACTAATTAATAATGATATTTTAAATTAATGGTTATTTTTCATAATTTTGAGGAAGACATAAAATTTTACATTATTTACAGATTGTTTGCTGATATTCTGAATGACACATCAATTCTGATAGAGATGTTGGCACCATTATTTAAAACATATTTCACTTTTCTGGCATGTTTATCAAGTATATCAAAGGTAATGATCACATTTGGTAATATTTTTTCTCTTATCACTTCCTGTTATGGCAATGTCAGTAACAATGTAAGCAGTTTTTGGTAATCTCATTTTTCTTTGTGATGGGGTGTGGAATTGGAACCCAGTCCATTGTGGGTGTGGCAGGAGGTGCCACAAGAGCTGCTATGACTCAGCACCAGGCTAGGAGGGACAATATGGCTGATGTTGCTGCTAAAGATGGAAGCCAGGTAACACATTTTGTACTAGTAAAAGCCCTATTGTTTTTATGCAATCCTGTTAGCAAACTGTTGAAGAGGTATCTTTGCAATCCTGAGATGATTTTAATCATTTACTGGTTATTTAGTGAACAATGTACTCTGAATTGGTAATTTTTTTTTATATATAATGGAAAGCAAATTTACTAATCTTATGCTCATTATTCACTCAGGAAACTTTAGTAAATTTGATGGCACTAATAGCTGGTCTGATCATCACACCTTTGGTCTCAGGAAACCCTCTGTAAGTCTAAAAACTCATCCTTACAAAAATTAAATAGTTGAATCCCAATTTTATTTTTAGCGGAATGAGTTCATTCCTTCACTTTTTCCTACCACTCTAACTGAATGACAAATTTTGTTTGAGAGCTTTTGTAATTTGTAACCATCTATCTTGGATACTTAACGAGTTCAGTATTGGCTGCTGAAAATTGTATGGATGTCCAAACTCAATGACTTTTATAAGTATTGCCAGACTTTGCTTCTGTCACCATATCAAAGGTTAATTTCTCTGAGAAGTCATGTTAGCGACTGAGAGGAACAGAGAGAAATGTTTATCCCTTTTACACCATGATATTAATATTGATATTCTCCATACTGTTATCTTTGCAGTTCCCATGGTTCTTACAAGGAGAATTTGTTTGACAATCACAAGCTTCTTTAGTTTGCAATCATTTTCCCTATTTTCATGACCTTAACATTTGATTCAGCAGCTGTACTTTTTACAAAAATTAGATCTTAGTCACTCCCAGGGGGATATAGGGCTAAAATAATTATTTAGAAACTTAAATTTATTCTTTCTTGTCAATAGATTATATGAATATTGGTGTTTGTTTTATTTCAGCCTAACTTGGACTTTGTTTTTCATCTTCACATTTCTTCACCTTTACGCAAATTTCCGAGCTGTGTCATCCGTTGTCATGGAAACAATTAGTCTGTCTCGTCTGCACCTTCTCGTCACTGAGTTCCTGTCAACAGGGCACATAATGACTCCGCAGGAAGTGGGCAACAGGGAACCTGTTATATTTGGTAAAATGTCTGCAAAAAAATGTGAATGCCAGGTCTACTAATGATTCTGTGATTGTTCTATGAAGTTTAAAATGATGATGAAATAAGCATGTTTCTATATTTCTCAGGTCGTAACACAGGGGAATGTCTGAGAATTCATTTAGGGACAGAATTTGTTTCTGTCATAAATAGGTATAGTTACTTCCTTATTTTTCAGACTTAAAAATGGGAATGTTATATTGTGTGGTTTGTTTAACTTGCCTTCTCTTCTGACAAACAAAACATTGTTTTGTATCTTTCAGTGTTAATGATCTTGATGCTGCATTACCAAACTCTGAAAGCACTATGTATATTATGAAACTGACATTAAATAAAGGAAGAAATTCAGGTGATTTCCCCTGACATTCAAGCTTTTGCTTGTGCAAGATTTGAGTAACATAAATAGTCGGTGTGGCCACTAATTTTCAAGCCAAAAATTCAAGATTTTAATGTTGTTGTTTATCCTAAATCTTCTTTTCTAACTGCCATTCTAATCAAGGTGCTGTTCATGTAGCATTACATGAAGATTCCAATGCCACAGATCATCTTCACAGCTGTTTCCAAGCCTGTTCTCTTGATTATGTTATACGCACAAAACCACATATCAAAAAGGTAATTATATTTTGGCATCACATTATGTTAGTTAGTACTCATTCTGAGGCAAGATTATGGTCACAGATTCTTATCACAGCTCTCATTAGTATAGTATAAGGCAGGATGCTCAGTCACATAAGACTTGGTATGTAGTGCAGGTTACCTTTAAGCTCCCTGTAGCTTAGTAGTAGAACATCAGAGCATGCATCCAAATATATAAAGGGGTAAGTTTCTAAAGAAACTGTGGTGCTGCATCGGTGGGAGAGTATAGCAGGTAATTTAGTGTTAACAACTGTGTTGAAAACGTAAATTTACGTAAAAAAGCTGACGTTTCGAGCATTAGCCCTTCGTCAGAGCGATGGACAAAGGGCTACCGCTCGAAACGTCAGCTTTTTTACTCTTTACGGTAACTAATTTACGTTTTCAACCCAGTTGTTAACACTAAATTACCTGCCATGCATCCAAATGTCTGGGATTCAACTCCTTGTTGGTGCACTCATAGTTTTTCTTTATATCTGTGACAAAGCCAATGACATCTTTCTTTTGATGACCAAACTCAACCATTGTTCTCATTTTATACAATGACCAAGACACTGCCATCAAAATTACCGAAAATGTAAAAAGACTTTCCTGTCACAGGAGAAAATTTAGGTGCCAAGAACTTTTCAAATCAGACAATAAACATGTGCTAATGTGATTGCTTTTATGAACAGTAGCGAGCTCTACATGGTAGTATTTTGTTATGTACTGTTATCATTGTACAATTCAAAGGGGAACAAATCTTATTTTACCTGAAATATTTGCTCTAAAAGGTTTTTGGTGATTCTGATGGAGGTCAAAGAGCACTGGAGGCCTTACATAATTTTTGGTGGCAAGGTAGGCTCATGAAAATCCACTAAAAACTATTTTGCAATTCATGAAAATAATAGTGATAACTTTCAACTATGACACATGTTCACGCCATTATTGTATTGTTACATTTACTTGTAACATTAGAGGGTGAAATGCATTTAATTTCTCATGTTACTCTGTTACTTGAAGTTGGTAATCAATAACAGCAATAACTTAGCTGAAAATTAATTTGACTATCCTCATGTGTCATTTTATTTTTATTTGATCTGCATTAAAGAGTGATGTTTTAATCCTTACCATGTGATCTATATTTGAACAATGTTTTCTTTTCATGTTTACTGTGGGAGAAAAGAGAGGGAGAGGGAGGGGATGGTAAAGTCCAAAGAGTGTTGTATATCATTCTTTAGTTCACTTTACTCTGCATCTGATCCAAAACTAGCTGCAACTTGGATTTGTAATTTCTTGGTCTTATCTTTTACTAGACAGAACTTTTAAGATTGTCCTAATCTTTTTATTATTAATATTATTATTATTGCAGAAAGGAACCACTTGTCTGACTGCTCATGGGATTTAGTAGCACTAGCCCATAATTTTACTCTGCAGGCATTCCCAGCATTCCTCAAGGGTCTTGAAGAGGCTGGCTGGGTAACCTCACGGACACATCTTGGCCCAGATGAATGGCGGGCTGTTTGGAATGTGAGGGGAATAGAATTTAAGAAAAGTCTCTAACAAAATAGATACAATTGTTTTCAAACCAACTGTTCGTGTCTGTTAACCAAAAAAAATATTGCTTTATCTCTGTATAAGTAGATAGGGAAGTATGTAAGGAAATAAAGTATTTAATATGTGGTTGGAAAATTTATGGATAGTTTAATTAGCATGTATTTTATTTTTTCATCACAGAAGAGGAAATAAAATTATTACACAGTTTTACCTGCATGGCAAAGTTTGATTCATGGAGATTGTAATGTGATGTCTTACTTGCCTTCTTGTCTCAATCCCCCACGAGTAATATCCACTGCAATGTCCACATTAACAATTTTTTTCCAAGTTGAGCAGCTCATAATTACTTTGATTTACATTTGGCAGATAACTAATATTTGCAACAATTTTTGTGTCTGAGGAATTTTTTTACTGTCAGTAAGTTACCAACCTCGTACATCAGACCCAAACATGTAAAAGCCAAAATCTCCAGGTATCTAGGTTACGGATACGAGAAACGGGATACGAGAAACGGGATACGAGATACGAGAGAAGGAAAACGGGACGCTTCGGGCGGATAGACCGAAACAAGAATTGTCTCGCTCCAGGCTCTTTGGAAGAGTTTGTTTTGAAAAGAACATGGCGGTTTAAAGTGCTTCTTTGACAACTCTGAATAGACCTCTTGTCTACGTGTGTTTTACAAGAGGAAAAGACGAAATACTTCTTTTCCAGGTAAAGAAAGAGGAAGGCACTGGTTTTTCAAGAGATCCGTTAACAAATGAGAGGAGCCACTATGAACGGAGGTGTCAGTAAACGAAAAGGAAACCGAGGCAAGATGGTCCCTAGGAACAGATTAAAGCTGGAGAAGCTAAGAGAGTCTTTACATTGTCTCAATCTAGAAGAGGAACAAGTGGAGACGACAAGGAGCAAATTGCGCGGTGATGGGCCAACTTTACGAGTTTTGTTGCACGATTTAGCTGTTCCAGTCGGTTCACATGGAATTAGAGTACAAATTCATAGCGGTAACTGTTGTACGAATTCCTCAGGAGATGTAAAGGAGAATAGTTGGCTTACGCAACGAGGAGAGACATTAGATATGACAGAAAATCAAATTACTTCGGAGAAATGTGATAGGTATGAATGTCGTCCAAATACGTTGTCTACTTGCTCAGACAAAGAAAAACAAGATAATAATAAGAGCCAAACTCGTGTGAGTTACACTTCCGCCTGCAAGGCAAGTCTGAAAGAGACAAGCCCTAAGAGGAAATTTGACGGTAGTGAAAAAGAGACTAAGCTTAAAAATTTCAAGGGATCATCGTCGAGATTCAAGTGGGAAACGCTAGGGCAGTTGAGCTCTATTTCAAATGTGCAATTTTCAAGTGTTCCTGATGAAGGTACTCGTATAGCAATCAACAATGACCACAACTCACCCTCCCCTCCCAACAGTCCTCTATATGACATGCCATCTCCCTCTACTCCAGCACAGAAGCAGGCAAGAAGAGCAAAACGCCAGCTTCAATTAGAAAGATGGAGAAAGTATGATGTGTCAAGGTCACGACAGGAGCGATATAAAAAAAGGAATCAACAAATAACAGAAATGACCTTGTCTGTAGATTCTAGACACATACAATGGAGCCATGATTTAGTGCAGACTGTCTATATTGATGATGAATTTGAATGAAGGAATAGTGATCTCATGATCTCGTGATTTCACAGATTTCTTTTTCCCTTAGCTTGTATGCTTCTGGAAGAAAGTTGACATCTGTGGGACATTTGGCCAAATGCAGACTGAGCCACAACAAATGTGAATACTATATTTCATAGTTTTTCATTTTCATGCATGGAGATAAACAATGCACAGATTGGGCTGACATGTTAACATCCCAAGTGGGATCATGTGATGATTCCCTAAGTGAGGTTCCAGGTTACAGTCATTATGCACTTTGTCACATTCAGCCAAGTGCATGAGTGTTTACAATCATAACAATTGTCACCTTGAAAAAAGAACCATCAATTTATCTGAAATGGGGGGTAAGGAGGATTTTAGACTTTTCAGCAATGCCCAACTGGCACCTGATCAACTGAGATATCTTCAAATTTTTTTCATGGAGCCTGCATGGGTACCGAGTAGTTCTCTGTTCTCAATAATGAATTCAATTTCCTTTAACATTTGTTCCATTTGCATTAAGATAATCTGGCAAAACCAACAATTTGCATTCCAATTTTTCAAGTCATTTCCATGCCTGAAAAAGTTTAATTTGGGCGTTACTGTTGTATTCATTACACTGTTCCTTTATTTTGTGTTCCATGATCACAGATTGCTTTGTGTCAGTTAATCTACAATGTAGTTGTGTTGGAGAACTTAATTTCAGGAAAAAATAAAGACTTTGTTTTGTTGATAAGATAACAACCATTGACTCATTTGATTGTTCATTCAAGAGGTTCTTTGTTTCATGAAACAGAATAAGCCTATATTGCTATGTACTGTGCCAAGTGGTAATCATCCCACTTAACAAAAATAAACAGTTCTGTTTCAATGACAGACCAATGCCTGAGCATTTTCCCCACTAAATAGAGGCTCTAGTAAGAGTTTGCATTCACTGGCAAGTGAAAAATCAGTGATTTAAATTTTTGAATTTCTGACCTCTTTGGTTTAATCTTTGGTAAGAGAGGAGAAATTTGAATCATGCTTGTTGGTTTTATTCAATCATTATTATTATATGTACTAACTCAAAACAAAATATCTGATAAATTATGTACACACCTCTATGCATGTACATGACTTTGTATTTATTTTTTGTTCATTCAGGGAAATGTTTAAACAAGCTGACCCACATCAGTTGCAAGTGGGTTTGAATAGGGCTTCAGTTTCACAAGATTTACATTCTGTGATAAAAACTCTCTTCTTGAACAAGTATTACAAACAGTACACGTAGACAATGTTAAAATTAGCTCTTCTGAATAACATCCTTGAATGGAAAGAAAAATACTTCCTTTACTAATTAAACAATTTTTAATCAAGTTGGGTAAAATTTTTGATAACTAGCTAAGTATTTTCACTATGAAATACTTAAGGTCAATCAAAAATATATCATCTGCCATAAACAATACTAATATTTATGATTAAAAACAAACCTTTGGACTATTTACAGTCAACAACTTGTAGAAGCTCACAATTGGGGCTTATCAAAAATGTGCTGAGAGGGAGTCAACCATTAGCAGTGAAATGGCCAAAACAATTAGCTGTTTGGCATAAAAATTGACATATTTTAATTATTACTTGTAAAAAAAGTCAACTGCAAAAAAAAAAAATTTCTAGTGACAGGTATCATTATCATTAGCCATATATTGGCCAAAATTTTAACCATTAGCCTTAAAAGCCATCACTCCATTGAGACCCTCAGCTAATGGAGATTGTCGTTAAGAACCATTTCAGATTTGAACTACATAGTAAAAAGACCACTAAGCAGTTTAGAGCTGTGTGTGCTGACAAAACATTCCCAATTGCAAACTGTTGCCAGATTTCAGACCTAAAAGGAATAGCTGATTGCAGAAATCTAAAGCAAGTTTCCAATAAACTGGGAACACAGGATTTAGTAGCATATGCTGGTACCCATGTGCTTGCCAATGTAAGGGAGTACACTGGAGAAACTGCAAGCACATTCAAGTCTAGATCATATGGAACAAAATTCCCAGTATAGCTTAAGAATTAATTAGGAATGATGAACCAACTTATGTCCTCTTTGCAAGATATACAAAGTTGGAAGTTCCAGCAGCAATGATTGGATGATGGGAATGTCTCTCAAAATCTACCGTGTAAACTGCACGTGGAAGATCTACAAGCCGGCCAGTAGTCTGTGGATAAGCAAACAATAGAAAAGTCTCAGTACTTATGACTACAATTGACAATACTGGATTCACAGTATTACGAAGATTTTTTAATTGAGTGAGGTGTGACGGAAGTTCGGCAACCATGTTTAGATGCTAAAATTGTGTTGTTGTCCCATTTCCAGTGGCAATGTGCTTTCATGTTTGATGTTTGGTGATGCACAGCTTTTTTGGAATGGTTGCCCATGACAACACCTTATTTTATGACTGAAACTCTGTCACCAAACTTTTTCATGCCTCACTCATAATCATAATATGTAGTTTCCTTGCACTATTACATAAATAGAGATTGTACATGTATACAAAGATTTATTTTTATCCACATACAAAACTCTAAATATCTGACCACAAAGCTAAGATAGTTAAGGAAAGTCAGTTGATTGTTAATATCATCAAGTTACTAGGAGACTATAAAATAACCTAAAATAACCGATACAGTACATATCTGAAGCTGAATGTACAGTATAACAGCACATCTATGTCCTACATGATAAGTTCCTTGATCCACACATCTCATCATATTGTTATCACTCCCTCCTGCTATGATACTGTCAGGACCTTGCCACTGGACACAATAGAGCTATATAATAACCAACAACAAAAAATTATTCACCAGAGACCCCAACTGAGTCTGTGAGTTCACTTGCAGGCAAACTGTTCATAAATCTTTTTTTTAAGTAATGCTAATTCACAAATGGTTCTTAGGTGGAAAGAGGTCAAATGTTGCTCAGAAGAGTTGATGAAAGTTTGGGTTTTAACCACCTTTTACAAATATCATCAGTAGACCAAGGAATCTTGATGAATTTTGGATGGTATATGATTAAGGTTATAACTTTTACAGCATGCTGAAAATCTCTTGAACATACCATACTTCCATTGTAATCAGATGGTACATCTTTTATCAGTTTCCCAGAGCCATGATCCCATATTTGAAGAGTTTTGTCTTTTCTCCATGACCCAGTGAGAATTTGCCGATTGGTGCTTGACATGCTCAGTGACTGAATGTCTAGTGCATCACCACAAATATGAGGTCCAAATATTTTCCTGAATACCATGATCATATATTATTAATATTTGACAATTCTTCATGATATCACAAATAGAATTAACTTAAAAACACAGGGTTGCATTTATATTGTTATGAATTTTAAGTTATACCTCACAGAATGTTTGCTATCAACTCTTGTATCCCAAAACTAAAAACCACAAAAGCAGAGAAAAATGATAAGTAAAAAATATACCTTTGAATGCCATCATTGATATTTGAGAGTACAATGTTTCATTAATTGGAGGGCAATTTGAACTAGTAAGTGGACATTAATTAGCAGGATTAAGTTATCACAGTCTGAAAAAAGAAGAAACAGCACAAATGCATCTAAACTGTATGATACTTTTAGGCTTGGATTTAGCCAGGTTCTAACCTACCACAGCAATAGTTTGGTTTTACAAAAATTCACCTGTGGCAGGCCTATAAATCATGTCCCACTGATATCAGAGGAACCTAAGCCAGAATAATTGAATATACAGGTTATATCAAAGTTCAATGAACCTGGGAAAATAGTTTTCGTCATTCACAACACCCCAATCAAATGACCTTGAAAGCTTAAAAAATTTAAAACTATATCTCTCTTAAGGAGGACCTGCATGATTGTCTAATATGTTTTTGGAGAGGGATGGGGGGTGAGGTTAACTTCTGTTTATTACCTGAACTGTATCATCCCAGCCTCCTGAGAGAAATTCATGATCTTGACCAGGTGTATACTGTACACTGAACACTCGGCTCATGTGGCCATCCATTACTAGGTGGGATGAGCTGTCAAAAAAAAAAAATCCAAGTGTCTTATTATCATGAACATAACATAGCAGCCTTAGCTAATCCTGAATTATCAACTTAACACCTTCTTAACAATTCTTCAGAATTAGACCAGGTGAAGTGTTACATGGTGTGGAAATGTTGTCTCACTTGTTACATAACAATTAGTAGTAATAAAAAGTAATGATAACATTAATAACTGTCCTAAAATTAGTGATAATAATGAAAGACAGGTAAATTGAAGAGAATATGATGTCCGCAATAATTGATATACCTTGGCTGCATGGTACAAATGATTTGTCTAGTTCTTTCATCATAAACATTTAGTTTTGTATCTGATCCGGCTGTGACAAATCTATCTCCTGAAGGACTGTAAGCACATGCTAAAATCTGCCTAGAAACTTCTGTTACTGTCACCATACAGGTGCTTGTTGATGTATGCCAGATTTTGACTTTACCATCTGCATCTGCAGTTATAACAGCAAAAAAAAAATGAATAAAAAAATACTTACAATAGAGAGGAACTATTTACTGTCAGAAAATCATTATTATTAGTAAAATACTGCATTTATTATGTATTCCTCTGAAGTCTAATCTCAGTCTGATCAAAAGATGGGAAAGTTCCAAGGATGCATTACAAAGCCTTTGTTGGAGGTTTTTTCATGTCAAATTGTAACTAATTACTCTGTGGGTTTTTTCTATTCATCATGAGATGACCAGCATTGCAGTATTGTAAGAACCAAGCCAACTTATTTGAGGTTATTCACCAAGGTCTTGCCAAGAGTTAAAAGTGAAAAGAAAGAAAAATAACCTTGTGGGTGTGAATGAATCGGGAAAATTGCCACACAAATAATGAACCTGGAATTGCAAAGCTACAAACATTAACTTGGGCAAATGGGCGGAAGGCTTAAACATGTAATCACTTTCACTCAGCCAGATTGTTCCCCATAATCTACCCTAAATCTGTGGGTACTTTTCATCAAATAGCCTTCATAACACAGTCTACTAGAATGTAAGTGAGGTGAGGTGCCACCTTTGACACTGTTTATACAATTCTGCAAAAATCAACATCTGCCCCAGGTATGTCCACAATTCACAACTAGAGGGTGTTTATATATTTACCTTAGACATGTAGAAAGCCTTTGTGTTATGGCCGTCTTTTTTTATTTTAACAATTACTGTAATTGCCCTAATTTTTACAGCAGGAGGTAAATGAGGCTTTTTCTCTCAAAGTGCCCCCCTTTTGGGAACTTTCAAGATCTTACAATCTTGTAATCAGAGCCTTAGTGGTGTCAAAGTACAACTTATCTTCATTTAAGATAATACTTTTAAATAATACATAAATCTGCATAAGAATACGGGTAAAATTTAGTATTAAAGATCGACAGACTAAACAAATACGGTGTAATTATCACTCTGGTTATCAATAAGTATGGTAGCACCATATTACTTGTAGGATTAACACAAGCTTAAAACCCTGATTGTTTTAACTTTCGCTAATTTTCTAAGACGTCAACTTAAACATATGAATATCGTATAATTAAAACTACAACAGCTGTTAAATGCGGCAGAAGTTCCCTCTTTCTTAAAACATAAAGTTTGCACCTAACCAACTTACAAGTTGCGAGTAACATATTTCCATAAGTATCACCCTCCAGTGTTGGTCTCCAACGAAGACAGGTCACTGGTAAATGATTATTTAAAGTGTCTTGGTCCGAGAGACTATAGACGCAATGTCCTGTGTCAGGAGCATACACCTAGGACGTGGAAAAATGTACGAAAAATAAAACACTGAACATTTTCGTTACGTACCTTTCGCAATGGTGGAAGTGTTAACAATTTAACCTACAAATGAGCAGATATTAGTTTCGGGAAAAGTAAAAATTGGTGACAAATTCGAAAATTAAAAAAGAGTAAATACTAGTCTTACCTTGGTTACGCCATTAGCTAAACCAACCGCCAGTAAACCGCCTTCGAGATTGAATCGACAACACATCACCTCAGAATTTGCCTCCCTGTTTCAAATAAAAGCAAATTATAATATTTTCAGAATACGAGACAATGCGGCAATAAAAATAGAAGTCCTTCGATCATTATCAAAAGTTTAACAAATATGAGTATTATGCAACAAGAATTTTTCTCACAGAATGTTCATAATTTTGAGATTTCCCTCAGCAGTTGGAGCCATAACAGGAACGGATTCAATGACCGTATCTCGAGGCGTTGAAAGGGTAGACGGAGGCGCTTGGACCAAATGCATGTCGTTGAAAATGATCTATTAAGTGATTTGTTAGTCCAGGTGTCTTAGTTGTCTAAAATCCCATTGGAACAGGAAAAGAAATAATTTGAACAAACGCTGTCGCGGGACGCAATTCAAAAGTAAATAGAAATTACTTACTGCCTCTGCGCAAGCGTCTTAGCGTCGGTGTTACTGTGGTAACAAAGAATCTATGAAGCTTTCAATATCTGCCCCCTTCCTCTCAGTTTAACTTTACGAATTTTGAAGGAGTTCCGATTAGCATACACAAATAAATCAGTGGTTTTGTTGAAAAAAAAAAGTTTAAAAAGGTTAGCGCAATTTACGATTACACGCCGTTGATTCTGTAATCCACCATTCACGGAGGATTTTGATTGTGTCCTGTTAAAGTTTACCTAATCCCCTATAAGGCTCTGCAATATTTTTATGATCCCCCTCATTGGCAGTTCATTGCCTGTCAGTTTTCTATAGTTTCCCCCCTAGACTCCGTTGGCGACGACTGATTCCCCTCCGTTCCTCCCTGAAAACCATGTTACTCCCAAAACTCCCCCGCCCCACCCCCCTTCCCGAGCGATGGATAATGAGTGATCCCCAAGTCACTCACAGGAGAGACCAAAAGAGAATTTCCCTTACAATAACAATACATTTTCGAGCGGGAAGGTTAGGAGAAGTAAGGAAAATATCAACAAGGAAATAATCTTTAATTGAACAGCAATTTCTCAGATCTAAACTTTTAAGAAATAGGTGACAGACAGTGAGGAGAATTGATTAGTAGATCTTGAGAGAGCGTCAGGAGTACACCCGTGCACGATGGTTCTTGCAAGGAAAATTTTTGTATGTACTATCATAGTGCAGACGGAAGTTTTATGAAGTCAAAGAATTAACTTTAATGTTCTGTTAAATATTTCAGTCTTTCAACACGTTAGATCATTATTTAGCTAAAGCTAAATTGACTGTGTTGGTTTGCTCAAAGAAAGAAGTTTCGTTTACTCTTGATAAAGTTTTGAAGCAGAAAATCTTCTTGTATTCTCGCCGAAATGTTCGATTTAAAGCACCATATATAATAGGATTCAGGGAAGAACTTATTAGTCCGATATCGGTATACATGACGTAGACCTTACGAGGAAGGGACCAGCCATCAGAAGCCATGTCCACAAAATCGATAATAAGTACAGGTGTCCAACAAATTAAATATCCAAGAACAGTCACGAATAAAGTTTGGGTCATTTTGATGTCTTCTGCGGAGACTCTTCGTTCTTTTTCGTGCCTGCTGGAAAATTCCTTTCGCAAATTTCTAACGCGGTTTCTATTCAAACGAAGATGTTTGAAGACGTTATAATAACAAAAAGAGAGAGTAGCTAGGGAGACGCATATACAAATGTAAATAACACATGATTCAAAAGACATTTTTACTTCGTGGAAGCAGAAAAACTTTCCCGGATGAAAAATGTATTTCCTGCCAGAAGCAAGGTAAGGGACTGGGTACATCATAGCTAGGATCCAGACTGACGCAGACATGAGCCGTGCGCGAGACATGGTGAAGAATATCCGGTGATTAATTGGATGAACGACGCGGAAGTATCGATCGACAGACATAAGAGCCATGGTCTGCAGAGAGGCAGCTACCGTTGTTATGACAACGAATCCTTGAAATTGACATACTGCGAAAGTCGAAACCCAACGCCCTCTAATAAGTGATGCTAAAGACGGCGGAGCCCCAAAAGTTGCCATGGCAATGTCTGAAATGGCTAGGGATGCCACGAGCAGCCCTGGGACGTTTCTAAGTCTTGGTATTTTGTACACAATGTAGAGAACAACTAGATTTCCAATGAATGCCACCGCAGCAATGGAGGCATAGATCAAAGATTCTAGAATAACCTGAGATGTACTCCGGTGACGAAACGAATCTGCCAGATGAAGGGCTTGTCTTTCTATGGAGGGTTTCTCAGAGGCATTCATTCCTTTTTTTTTTTCTTTTTTGCTGCAGTAACAAAGATAAATAATGTTTAGCATACTTTTGACAGATAGATGAAGGTGACTTTCAAGTTCATTTTCTTTTTCAGGTCTCGGAATCTTCTGCGAAACAGAGCTTTGCTTCGCGGGAATATTATAATTATGTCAGTCTGCACTTTATTTGCATTTGCTCAGCCATTATATCCTCGCTTGAATCGAGACAACAAAAATAAAAGCAACAATGGGGCTTAGTTAAACGCAACGAAAGTTTCATAGCAGAACTTGCAAAATTAAAGCCATTTTGCAGCTAAACGTCTGTTATGTGTAACTGGTAGAAATAAATAGCTTATTGATGATGCGGCGGATGCCAAGTTTCTGTGGTTTCAGTTTGTCATCTCGCTTATTATATCTAAGCCTGTTCAAACAATAAATTAACAATAAACCAATAGGATTTCCGCGGGACTGAAATTTAATTACCTGACTGAGCTTTCTTATCTTATTCTTATCAGTTTACCCAAAAAAAAAATTACTACAATTAAGATCACCACCTGCGTAAACTAAAATGAGTAGTCTAACAAAGCTTGGACTAATTCCCAGTGGATCAGCTTCGTTCTTGATTCTCCTTTTGAAATAAAATGCTCGGAAACTGTCTCTATCGTTTAATTTATTTCAAGAAATGTTCGATTTTAAATTGCAATGCCGTGTAAATAATACCATGAAATTGTCAAACCTTTTTATCCTTTCACAATAGCTTTCAGAATAGTATTAGGAAGAGAATATGTAGCGAATATCTTTCAACTATTCTTGGGAAAAGCTCGCTTATCTTATTTCAAAAAGTTTATCTCATTGTATAACCTTGCGTTATATCTGGACATTGTTTTTTCAATTTTTTTAGCCTTTCAAGTTTTGAATAATCCCTAACATAAAAGCACTTGAATTTAATGTTCAAAACACACATAAAATGCATATAATGTCTTTTTCAACCCAGCATTGCTGGAAAATAATTTTCCCTTTCAATGCTACGCCAGTATCTTGAATCTTTCGCAATTGAGAACAATGAACGAGTGAGATTCTTTTTGTCATTACTGCTTCCATACTCTAACTACAGTCCGTTTGCCCACAACTTATGTATTTTTAAATAGCTTCCTTAAGTAATTTCGATGAAGTTTGCGCAACACAAAATCCAAACCTAATATGAAGATGAGAACCTTGTAAATTAAACAACCTACGAGCTCTTTTTGCCGCTATTGCTTCTGCGGTTGTGGTAGAAATTCATTGAAAGAAATTTAAACAATTACTGAACAATTCTTAATCTTAGTAGAATACTAATCTACTTCACAGGAAAATATCGTCTTAAGTTTATTTTCTTTTCTTATTTTCTTCTATGGTTAAACGATTAGGAGAATCCATTACGAACCCTTATTTCACTTACCTGTTGAAGATCTGGCCTTTATAAAATCCTTCTTTTGCAAAGAAGTGGTTTTTAGTGAAGCTTATACAAGCGGTATTGATTTGCCACAGAGAGTAAATCTGAGAGAATATGTGTTGAACTCAATCTTTAGCGCTTGTAAGTAATTTGGTTTTATGGTAAGTTGCCTTGAAAATTGCTGCTTGAAAAAATAATAATTGACACGTGAGGATGTAACTTGTGACGTAAATCATAAGAATTGGTTATTAACTTCACTGGTCACGTGACTTAGATGACGGACCAATGGATGATCCGAGGGCACGTCTGCCTTGTAGCTTGACTGTTCTTTATGGTATTGCAGAATATTCCAAAGATTTTTCAGGAAAAAAAGTACCATTATCAGGCTCTCTCACATATATCAGGTAGAGAAATTTTATCATCCGGGTTGGTTGTGCTCGATAATTTTGTCAACAGGGAATGGTAGAGACTTATGTTAGTTATACAATTTTTTTTGTTAGGATCAATTTAATTGAAATTTTCTAAGATTAAAGTTTCTTTCTTAAATTTTCCTCGCCGTCAACCCGCATACAAAAGTTGGTAAAGTTTGGAGACTTTGTGGGGCTAAATCTTCGTTAGGTCCATGTCAAACTTTTTCAAAATCGTAAAAGTGTCTATCAATTCTGAAAAAAGTTTTGTATGCAGATTTACTTTCATTACTTCTTTATCATTATCAATGTTTGTGACTGAACCTAAAGTAATCTGATACACTCATTTTAAGACATTTCTTTGCCACACACGTTTACACCTTAGGTCATCGCCCAGAATTCAGCGACATATCCGGGACTTTCATTGAGACGCTGGCGCTAAATTTAAAAGCTAATTAGAAAATGATTGTCAAACAATAAAGGAAAAGGGCTGAAAATGTCGAGGAAGGCATACGTTCTCTTCGTTTACGGATAAACTAATTTTCAAATGCTACTTTTACCATATGGCTTTTAAAGAAGAAAGTTCAATTGAATAGTGTATCATTCTCACTTTGTTCTTGCGCTTTCAGAGGAGGTCGCAAATTTGCCTTGAAAATTGACTATGTTAGCATCCTGCTTGTATGAGAAGTCGATCTCAGCGCACTTTCAGGCGTAATTTATCTTCACTCAATTGCTAGATTTCTCTTTTACCATATGGTTATTTTTATTTGACATTCTAGAAAGCGTCATAGAAATTTTCAAGGGATTCCAAACTTTGGAAGTAGTCGCAAAACGCGAATTTCGAAAACGTTTGCTAAGCATCGTAGTGTTCTATCCAAATTTGTCCTTTGGAGACCCCCACGAGAATACAAGTGACCTATTTTAAACTTCCCGCGAGAATATCAAGGTATGTTAAGCTCCGCCTCCGCAAACAATCGCGCACACGCCGCCTAATTAGTATCGAAATTGAGGTGGTAACTAGACAATGCTTAAAAAACTGTAAAAGCTTTTAAGATATGATCGCTGAGATCGCTGCAGAAATATTCAGCAATCGTTACTATCATATGGAAACCACACTCCTATTATTGTCGCAAGATAGACTCTAGTTCTATCTCGACGATCGTCGCACTCACAAGCCGGTTGTCGGAAGCATCGCTCATATTTTTCTCTACCGATTGAAGCGATTTTAACGAAGTAGATTCTTCATGATACTTTTTTTCTAAATTTTTCTTTTTTCTATTTTCATGATACTAATTTTTATAATTCCGATAACATTTTGACCAACGGGAGTCTGTCAGTCCATATAAGAATTCGCTGCAAACGAATTTGCTAAACGCTTTGTTAAGAGCGTGGCTATTGTTAATTATTGCTATTGTTCACTTTATATCACCTTGGGATTTACTTTACGCATCCAACCGTTTGATTGACAGCAGCTGAAATCTGCAAAGAGACTCATGTATTCCCAAAGCTTTACCTGCTGACCAATCACAACCGACTAGTTCAGGATATGCAAATTATTATGCTGCCCGCTGATTAAATGGGCACTGCAAGTACATGTCGCGAAAGACAATAGCATTCTGGGCGATGTGGAAGAAACTTGTTTACAGCAACTTTTTTCTGTCATTTTCCTTTAAGCCTTTTGAATTTCGGTCGAAATTTTCTTTTTACATTTGAGTTGAATTTATGGTTATTTCTGTTGTAAGAACTTTTTTCTTTCCATCGGTGTTTGTTCAGTGTTGCTTTGATCTTGATTAAGCGAGGACTTCCTGAAGCAGAGAATCTTTTTGTATTCTCGTCGAAATGTTCGGTTTAGGGCCCCATATATAATGGGGTTTAGAGAAGAACTCGAAAGTCCAAAATCATTGTACATGACGTAGACCCAACGTGGAAGGAACCATTCCCCAACACCCTTTTCCACAAAATCGATTATGAGAACAGGAGTCCAGCAAATCAGATATCCAAGGACAGTGGCAAATAACGTTCGTGTCAATTTGACATCTTCGGCTGAGGTCTTGATTTCTTGCGTGAACCGTCCTTGGACGCGTTTTTCGTTCAAGGTTGAGGGCTTCACTTCATTCGTGCGCCAACCTTGAACGCGCTTTGCGTTCAGTCTCAGATGTCTGTAAACGTTAATGTAGCAATAAGTGAGAACGGCAATGGAGTAAAAAATGCAGACGTAAATAGTGTCAGCTGCCAAAGACTCCTCTTCTACGAAAAAACAGAAAAATTTTCCAGGATGAAAAACAAACATTTTGTCAGTGGCAAGATAAGGGACTGGGTACGCCAATGCCAAGATCCAGACTGACGCGGCCATGAGCCGTGCGCGTGGCATGGTAAAGAAAAGTCGATGTTTTGTCGGATGAACGACGCGGAAGTATCGATCGACGGACATAAGAGCCATGGTCTGCAAAGAGGCAGCTACTGTTACTATGACAATAAAACCTTGAAATTGACAGGCTGCAAAGGTGGAGACCCAATTCCCTTTGATAAGTGATAACAGAGATGGTGGAGTCGCAAGGGCAATGATGGCGATATCTGAAAGGGCAAGTGAAGCAATAAATAGTCCTGGTACATTTCGGAGCCTCGCCGATTTGTAGACAATGTAAAGGACTAGAAGATTTCCAACAAAGCCAGATACAATTACAGAACCGTAGATCAAAGATTCCAGAACAACTTGCAATGAACTTCGAGATCGTAATGATTCCGCCAGGCGAAGGATGTTACTGTTGCTGTCTGTATTGGTTGCCACCGAGACATTCATAACGGGTTTCTTAAAAAGAAAACAAAGAGTATTGATGTAAAGATTTTTTAGTCAATTTTAAAGTATTTACTATGATATTACCTCGGTGGTCAGAGGACCTTTCTGTGGACAGCTTTTTTCGTGCTTTTGTTTCAGTGCTCAAAAATGATTATATTTACACTTCTCTGTAAGTGTTTAAAAATAACAGGAAAACCTATTTTAGGTAAAAAGTTACGGATCGAAGTCAGTGTCTGAGCAATTGCGTACCAACCCCTCCCCTAACCCAACATTAACCCTGACTTGTTATCAGTTGACTGTTGCCAGGTTAGGGGAGGGGTAAGTGCGCAGTTGCTCAGATACTGACATGGATCCAAACTTACAACTATCCATGACATAGTCTTCAGCGAACCTTTTCATGTAGCATAATATACTACCTGATACGTGTAAGCTAATTGATGAGAATGATAAAGAAAACAAAGTAACAAATATTTTTAAATATCATATTTGAATAATCAATTTATTGAATTCTTCCAATTTTATTGAAAAGTTACGAAGAATTACGAAATAAACTTGACCGCAAACTGGACAAGTGCCAACTCAATAATTTCTTGAAAATAATGAGACCGAGTAGTTTGTTTTTGGTAGTCCAATCATATCATCACCTGCCTTGACATATTGATGACAGTAACGACTGTTTGAACAGTAAAACGTCCGTGAGCCAATAGGATTCACGCTCCAATTGGATCTAAGAATGTAATTTAGTTTTGTCAATTTACTTGACAAAAACAAAAGGTAGCATAAGCTGCTACCTACTTAAATTAGAATAACAAACTTTCCAAAATGCGTAGACCTCTTCCTTTTGAGGAAAATTTAAGATGATTGCTAACCTTAGAAATGTAATGTTCAGAAATGGTCTTTCTTATAATATGATTTATTTTCAAAGTGTTTCTTTGTTTGCAATTGCAGTTGTTTTCGATGGATTAGCCATGACTACTCTTATGATGTATTTACTCTGGTGTAAAAAATAACATATCAGTGGTTAATTAAACGCCATGAACACGTATGTAACATATTGTTTTCTGGGCCATTAACTATGAAAAAAAAATTTTGAAAAATCATTTTTGAGACCATTTTTTCGTATGAATGTTTACAGCTCATCATGAAAAGAAATACCTCATTTTGAATTTTTCCTTGATAAATGAATTACAAATTCTAGATTTCCTTAGAATTGATTTTAAGATGATTTCTTGTAAACCATACCTACAATATTTTGCTTTGAACAGTAAAAAAAACAAACAAAAAAAACCACTAAAATCTGAGATAAAAAAAGACCTTCTAGCGAAAAAATTATGACAATTGAAAAAAAATGACATACCTTTTCGTACCAATGGTGGTAGATAACCAGCGAAAAGATACAACAAAAATTAATTTTCTGATCAGTTAAATCCCGCCTTTTTTTTTTTTTTTTAAGTGCTTCAGTTTACGTATCGAAGACTATAGGATGAACATACTCAATTTAAATGGCTCGAAAGAAGGGACAGTCCGCTTTGTAAATGTATATGATCAAAAGTCGTCACCAGGGTCTCGCTTCTTACCACCGAAATGAGTTCCATACCAGCTGATCAGGAATTAAGGTGATTGGTCTTTGCATGTCCATGATTGCGTAGAGAACTGGAATTTGCTACCGTTGCGGGACAAATTTGCATGGCACTGTTCGCAGGGTATTCTGGCTGCGCATCGAATTGCGCACATTCTGTTACCTAACCATCAAGCACCGCGTTCCATGGCTTGCCCTCTAGGAAAGAAGCAGAAATACAGGTGACAATTCCAAGCCAAAAACTATTTCTTTATGTATACAAGATGACGTTAATGACAAATTCTCGATATTTCGTTCTTTACGTAGATTGGCAAAAAACAAAGCCATCGGAAACCCAAGGGCTGACAAGAGATTAAACTTACAGCGTACCTTGAACAAACTCGAATATACATGAAAGTTACTAAAATAAGAGATGGTAAAAGGAGAGAAACATATGGATTATCAACTGGTCTGGCATTTCTATTTGTTAAGACATATTGAATTACGAAAGAAAGCCCACTTTGAGTTAAATTTCAGCTTTTAATTGGATTAACGTCATACGTTGACAATTTCGAACGACTTTGCAAAGCCAGCGGACGTATCTTTTGCAATTACATTTAGGTAGCCAATCAGATTTTAGGAAACTCGAGGACCCTCTGCCTTGCAAACAATTTGTTGTTTGTTCAACCATTTGCTGCGTTAACCTTAAGCAATTACTATCGCTGGCGGAAACTTCAGTAAGTAAACTGAATCTATCACAAGAAGATAAGTGAAAAATTCATTTTTGGAAGACAAGAGACAGCACTTTGAAAATCCATTTCTAATGTGATTCGTGAAGGTGAGGTGTTATATCTAGGTGATTTACGGATCTTAAAAAAGAGCTTAGCATGTTTTCAAGTTCGCACCAGGCTAATCAACAGCGGTGCCATATATAGCCGTGCGAAGGCTTTGAATTTCTGGTGAGTCTATGAATTATATGTATATGTGCGTTCCTTTGTGGCTGTGGAAGCGAAAAGAATTTCAAAAATGATTTTGATTTACACGTACAAGACCGCAGTTTCTTTGTATTGATTTTTCCTTGGTCCTATCTGCTGCATTTGCATTTTGCGATATCGTCAAACCAATTTCAATCAAGAATCTTATCGATTTTCAATGAATTTGCGTCTATTTATGAAAAACACCACCAAACGGTTCTACGAAACAATTTACCAGGACCTTTTTCATTATATTTTTTTTAGGAAACCGAGAACTTCTATTTTTCTCAGTGTATTTGTTGTAGTGCGGGTCACACCTTGTCTTCTGTGTAAATACAAATCTTACATCGCTTTTTCTCGTCTGTCTCTCAATTCCAAAACGTTTACCGAGTGGCTCAGTGTTACTGTTAAGGACACTGTACAATGCTTAGTCAATCCAGGCTCAGTGTACTAGCTCGGAATGGTACAGTTCTTCATTAAAAGTTGGTTTACCTATTTACGTGGTGAGAGCGAGTGCCGAATAGCACCTTCTTCACGTCCAATAATCTTCTACAACGTAGTTTGAGTGACCGCCTCTTAAAATCTTGCGCCGAGTAATCCCAGCCGACACCTGTAAAATACTTAGTTAATGAACTACATTTTTTCCCCATTAAGACGCACACTTGTGAACATTCACTTTTCTTTCCTGAAATACATGTTTTTTAATGTTCTGTCGTTTTTTCTCACTAAATATTCATTTTCAAGCATTCAAATAATTCCCACTATGGTATTAACAGCTTATGAGGGCTAAAATTACTCTAACATGTCTAAGAACACGCTCTTTAACATTCTCCAACAATATATTCCAACAAACGAGACAAACAGAAGTATTGATGCGGACTGGACAATCGAAGCGGTCGCTAATAATAAGTTACTACAATTATACAGTATCATACAATGGCTACAATCAGACAATATTATACAATGGCTGGCGATATTAAATGATAATTTTAAACGAGGAAGACGATCCAGCGCAGTTAAATGATAAAGCCCAGTGAATAAAATTTACGATAAAGAACTTCCGTACGAATGACATAAACAAAGAAATATTATGCAAAAAAAAAAGTAACAGAATATCGATGAAAGTAATGAACGTGAAAACAAAAGAACTCAATGGAAATGCGACTGAAAGAAAAAGCCGTGACAAATTCTGAATGAATAACGTCAAACACTTTTGGAGGCAACACAACCCATACATTTCTTTGTGACAATTACTTGCAGTTCGTCCATGGAGCCCTCGTTTCTTTTGGTCCCGTGATTCGAATGTAACGCTATGATGTGATTTTGTCTTTTAGAATGGTTTCCATAGCCGAGGTGCTTCTGTCAGCGTTGTTCTCACTGCTAATAGTGATCGACATTGTTGGCAATGTGTTTGTTTGCTTGGTTGTTTATCGATCCAAGCAAATGAGGAAACCCATGAATTACCTCTTGGTGAATCTTGCTGCAGCAGATGTTGTGATTGGTGTATTTATGTTACCTAGGCATGTGTTCCATCATGCTTTTAAGCACCCAACAGGTTAGTGATGAAAATTTTTAAAAGAAATTTTAAGCGTAAGATACAAATGATGATAGATCGAGGATGTTACGGAGAGCAAGCTACTTTCACCTACCTGCTCCCGGAGAAACTCCCCCCGGAAACAAACTGAGGCCCATCGTCTGTCCTCAACGAATATGGAACACCAAACTGAGCAAACATAGGGCTGACAGCTTCAATTATCTACGCACTTGTTGTGGACTTCAGAACAGTAGGTCCAAGAGTCTCACTCCTAAAGTTCCGCGCGGCTCGCCAATATCAAATTTTTTCTTCTTTTTTTCTGTTGCTGACTCACGCGACGGACTTCTCCGAACGGAGGGACTCGTAGTGCGCAGCGTTACAAGATAACTAATTTGATTGTAACGTTTCTCTTTTCTCAATCATAGGTACATTCGGGAACTACTTATGCAAGTTCATCACTGGTGGTGTGTTCATCTGGCTGAGCGCTGCAGCGGCTGGGATCTTACTTATCGCCATAGCGACGGCGCGCTATTTCGCCATAGTGCATCCTTTTAGGACTAAGTTCCGGTTAGACAAGAAACGCGTTCTTTGGATAATGGCGTTGTCATGGGGGTTTGCATGTGTGTTAACAGGGCCAAGTGTATCTGCCATCGGGTACGACCCACAAGAAGATTTCTGCGTGGAAAAATGGATAAATTGGTATCCATCACAAGCTCATGTTGCATTTGTTTTCACCGTCAATTGCGCGATTCCGATCGTAACGATGACGCTGTTGTATTTAAGAATCATCTACAAACTGTGGCGTAACGAAGATGCGATTACAAACTCGGTTCAACTTGCAAGACTCAAGTCACGCAAACGCGTGACAGTCATGCTCATCATTGTAACAGTTGTTCACACCATGTGTTGGTCTCCGAACTATGTTTTGTATTTACTG